TTTATGTAGCACTTCTTGCTCCGGCTTGCAGAAAGAATATTGCTAACCAAAGGAATATCCCTGATCCTCCACAAAACAAGTAAAACTGTAAGTCCTCGTAAGAAGGCATAATGCTTCTGTGCACACCCATGTATGTGTGAGTATATTTGTGTGACGGAGATACTTCAATTAATAACTCTTGCTGGGCGTGGTGGTGCATGCCTGTGATCCCAGCACTCGGGAGGCTGAGGAAGGAGGATCGGCGGGGGGGACCTATATGATGTCCGTGCATCAGATATTACTATCCTTTCTTAGTTAGACAAATAGACTCAGATTCAAATCAAGTGATGTGTTCAAGTTGATGTGAATGATGAGTAGGAAAATAAAAACTAGAATCCTCAATCACTTTGTCCATTTGTTGATTTTTTTCTTCCAATCAAATACTTATCAGACCCCATGTTGTCTTTCAGGTCTTAGAATCAACACTGAAAAGAAAATAAATGGTACGCTAGAGAATACTGTGTCCGCAGCTCCCGGCAGGCTGCTGAGTAAGCTACAGTGTTAAGAAAAGCCGAGAGTCAGCCTCAGTGCTCACCGTCATCTCTCGGTACAGAGCACCAGGTCAGTAGACACTCACAGTGCAGAGTTCCCTGGTGGGGAAGCCAAATCCTTGTACTCACAGAAAGGAAATGAATTTAAAGTCGTCCTCTTCCCGACTTCTCCCCAAATGATGTCCTTCCCCCACCCTGCTATGTGTGTGTATACATGTACGTTTTCCCTGGCTTTTGAAGAAAGATAGTTAGTCTAGGAGAAACCACCTCTAGATGTTCAGCCAAAGCATCCTGAGGTGGTAAATGGGAAGTAGGAGCCCTGGTTTGAGATCAGACCATGAACTAAATATTTGACCTTGCGATGCTCAGCACATACTGAGAGCTTCCCGTCTCTGTTGCATGAAACAGGCATTTTATTAAGTGACCTGGCTATCTAGGGGAATAGTCCAGGGGAATCATCAGTCACCTACACTGAAAAGTTAATTTAAAAGAATGAGGCAGAAATAATTCACACTGAAAGGGGCTCCTGAGTCCATGAACCTTGCTCCCCATTCACCAACCCATCCTCGGTACATTTCACATGGCTCATTGCACCACATACATCTGTTGAGCGCAGAGAGTGGGCCAAGTAAATATGTGTTGTCTTAGTTTCACGACAATCAAGGCAAGACTGGTATTCTCTACTGGGTGTAGGAGATCTCAGAAGCAACCTGATCAAGCTCACAGAGTCAAGGTGGAGCAGTGCTGGAACCTAAGCCTTGATTCTGAATCCGAACTCCATGTTCTCTCTACTGCAACGCACTGGTGCCCTGGAAAAGACCACAGATGAGACATTTTCCACTCTTACCATCCAGAGTTCATGGTAGGGAAATTCTCTTTTGTCAATACTAACAAATACTGAATAGTTCCCTTAATACCAAGCATTTCTCAATCTGATCTGATCTCTCTTAAGATATTTTTTAAATTAAAGTTTTATCCAAGATGAGCAATGTCAACCACATTCCAAGTTTTCGAGGAAAACACAAGGCCGAGAGTAAAATGGTCCAGAGAGATCCAGTCATTCATAAGGGGATCCTTGTGCCTTTGTGAATTTTATAACCATGAACTGACCAGTTTCTCCCAATAAATGTTGGAAAAAGTGCCCTTGTCCTTCTGGCAAAGAAAGAGGAAAATGAATCACTTTGAAATATATCAGTACACTCTGACTTTAAAAGAAAAATCTTGCATTGGAGGAAACTAGTGAATCAGAGACTGATCTGCTGGGGTTTCCATCATGATCTAACTTCCCAAGGGGAGGAAAATGCCCAGCTCCAGTCCAGCCTAGCCTTCCTATCTCAGAGAGAGAGAGGACCATGAACCACCTGTGAAATACACAGTATAGGGACACAGGCTCACTAAAATACTGAGACCTTGCAATGTGTGTTTCTACAACACTTTTCTTCTCATAGCTGACTACTACATTACTGCAGGCCTATTCACAGCAGTTCTTCTTAACCAGCATATCATATTCAGCTATCAAGGAAAAAGTACAAGGCACACTACAAGGTATATAATAGTGTGAAGACAGAGAGAGAGGAAGAGACAGAGGGAGAGGGCGAGGGAGAGGGAGAGAGGACAAGAAACAGGCATGACAGTGATGCTGAAGGGATGGGAAGAATTTAAAACTATGATTAATAAACCAAAGAGTCTAATTGATGATGTAGAAACTGTGACTTCCATGGTCTTGTCAGCTGACTGGGTATAGCTGCTAATATCTTAATGAAAGTCTCCTAGCTGAAAAGGAACGAGAATAATGAAAAGAAGAAGAAGCAGGGGCAAACAGAGCAGAATATCCAAGAATGTGCAACAGCTACACATAATTATGTGTAACATGAATACCCATTTGAGAAGAAAGAAAAATGGAGAAATATGGAAACAAATGTCTGAGAGTTACTTCAAGGTAATGTCTGATAAACCAAAGATACAAGAAGCTCCACTAAGCAGGATAAATGCTGAAACCCCAACTTCTGGGTACATCATTTCCAATTTACAGGAAGTCAAAGAGAAGTTAAAAATCCCAAAAGAAGTCAGAGGAAACAAGCATCTTACAGAGGAGAAAAGTAAAGAAATATATCCAACTTCCCTCCAGAAACCATCAGCTAAGAAGAAAACAGACTGGCACATTTAATACTTTGAGTGGAGAGTACACACCAATCATTTTCTTAGAGAAAATACACACTAAATTACTAATTATCACCCTATAAATTTGTTCTTCAAAAGCGAAGAAAAAGGATTTTCTCAGACAAACAAAAGTTAATGGAATTTTGTGGCAGGTATATATCGGTGTTGTAAGATTTGCTAAAAAAAGAAATAAAAAAGTTTTTCAGAGACAGGAAAAATAATTAAAAAATCAGAAACTCTGAACCATATAAACAAAAAGAGAATTAAGGAAAGAATAGGTGAAAGTAAATGTTTTTATTTTATATTTTTGTATTTTAATGTAATACATAAAGATATTAATGAAGAAAATATAAAAAATACTTACTTTTATAAAAAATTAATAACAAAATAATTAGTCATACAAGTTTAAGTACCGATGTGTGAAACTGAAATTTTTTTCTTGTTTTTAATTGACCTAGCAGGTAAGTTTATTCAAAAAGTATTACCAACATATATTTTCTTATGTGAACTTGAGCACAGATCATATGCATGCTGTAGGGATATAAGAGATGGGAGGGAGAAAATACAATTGTTTTGCTATTATTAAATACTCTCACTAACCATAAAGTGAAGTATGTTATTTAAAATGGGCTTGGATTAGTTATGAATATACTGAAATTCTAGGCAATCACTAAAGTATGTTAAGACATGATTTATATGGTAAGAAAAGAGAGAAAAATCAGCAAGAAATAGTTTAAATCAACAACCCCTAATGGTATATAATTGACATCAATAGATAAATATATACAAAAGAGTAGAATACACTCTTCTCAAATGCATACTGAATATTCAAGCAAGCCTATGTTCTAGGACATAAAACACACTTTAACAAATTTGAAAGGACAGCAATCATATACTATCCACTCTCAGATTACAAATGAATTAAACTATCAATGAGTAACAGAAAGATAACTGAACAATCAGCAACCATGTGGACACTACACAACATACTGTTAAATAACACAAGATTCAAAGAAATTGCCAATGAAATTTAAAAGGTTTTAAATAATAAAGCTAAAAATATAACTTATCAAAGTGTGTAGGAGGTAGCAGAAGCAATTATTAGAGGAAAGCTTATAGCACTGAATACATGCATAAGAAAAGACAAAAGTCCTAAAATCAGCAATCTGAGCTTCTACTTTAGAAAACAAAAGAAGAACAAATCAAATACAAAGTAGTCCAAAAAAATTAGGACAGAAATCAATGAAACAGGAAATCCATAAAGAAAATCAATGAAACTTTAAAGTTAGCTCTTTGAAAAGATTAATAAAATTGATAAATCTCCAACAAGGCCAAGAAAAAAAGCAAGAAGACACAAATTACTAACATCTCAAATAAATGAAAAGACTTCACTATCACCCCCCCAAAAATCAAAAGGAAAATGCAGGGATACAATGAACAATTCTATGCTTACAGATTTGATAGCCTCGATAAAATGGATTTAGTCCCTGAGAGACACAGCTGCTGAAACACACACTAGAAGAAACCCAAAATCCAAATAAGGCTGTCTCTTTAAACAAATTAAACCAGTAATTAATTATTCTGCAAAACAGAAAGCACCAGGCCCAGATGGTTTTACTGGTGAATTCTAACAAATGTTTAAGGAAAAAATGATGCCAAGTTTCATAAAAACAAATCCAAAATCATTAAGGACAAATAAACTACCAGAACCAATAGTGACTATGGCAAGGTCTCAGGAAAGATAGTACTGTGATCATTCTCAACAGAAGCATCATCAAAACCAGGTGCTGGAGCAGAGGGTGGCTGGGAAGTGTTTGGCTTCTTTGGTTTCTCCCTCTGAGACAAGACAACCTTGGTATCTTGCCTAAGAAGAATGCTCAGTTTTGTAGAACACCTAATAGGCATCGTTGAGGGCATTTTCCATGTCTGATCTCATTTAATTTTCAGGACTGCACTTAGCACTGTAGTTTACATCTGACACATGGGATCTCTTACTATCAGAGATGCCAAGTAACTTCTTTGATATTATAGTGGAAAAGCCAGTATTATAACAAATGGAACAAATGAAATTTTAGAAGTACTGATTAGGCAAACTATACAAATATAGGTTTGTAGAGTCTCTCACAGTACTCTTTGTTCTTCAGAATTTTTTTAATTTCCCCTATTAAAAGAATGAACTTGGTGTAGGGGGATGGATTTCATTCAGTTTACGGGTTCTTGGCATTTGGTATCCCCGACACTAATGCAGAAGCTGCAACACAGAAGCACTTGGTATAGCCTTCATTTGATACTGATCAGAAAGAACCGAACCTTCGTACTATTGCCAAACCACCAGAAATAGGTTAGGGTTCCCAGCTGGCTCGGCCACACCACGGCACTGATGTTGACCTCTTTGTTTCTTATGGCAACAAATGGAATTCGGAGGTGAACGTGCTCCACGGGACCTAAGGGGAGAGGCAGAAAGTCAGTGTTACATTTCCAGGATAAGCCGTGGAACTTTATGTCACACGCCTAGATTCCTAATCTTACCCCTTATTACCATGCCCGTGAAAAAGCAACCATCAAACCGGCAAACGCTGGAAAGTACGCCTGCCCTTGAGATGAAGCCTCTGCTGCTGCAGGGCAGCACAGAACCCAAACCCAGTTTCAGACTTCAAGAGAGGCATCCGAGTTTAATTTCCACCTGATAAAGCCCATTCACCTAGAACTCTTAGGAATTTCCAATCCAAGGGAAAGCTAGTTTACCGGAAGATAAACAGCAGTCTGTTTTCCCTCTGAGGCTAGCCCATGCCGTGATTCGGGGTTACCGCCTTGTAAGGGGGGCTATTCCATCCCCTGCAGTGGTTAACTGGCCACTGTGCCTCACCATCTGCAGGACACAGGGGTGTCATTTAGAAGCAGGCAAGCCCCCACTTTTTTTTAAACAGTGAAGGAAATGCACAGCTCTGAGATAATAAAAATGCTGCTTCTCAATTTTGCCCCTCTGAAAATTGGTGCAAATATCAGTGAGCTCTACACTAGCAAGTCTTTCACTTGCTAGTATGTGAGTGGACAAACCCTGGATACAAGTGAGGATGTCAATTTCATTCATTTCCAGATTAAAATAAGAGGGAAATCCTGAGAAAGCATAATTAATGTACCAGTGTTGTACTTGGGGCGCTGCTGTGTTATTTTTTCAACTCTGATGTGGGAGGACACAGACAAACCTGCAGGACATCACGTTAAGTGAAATAAGCAAATAAGCCAGACGTGGAAGGACGGGTCCCTCATGTTCTCACTCATATGTGAAGTCCAAAAGAGCTGAGATTGGGGAAGCAAAGGGTAGAACGGAGGATGCTGGGCAGCAGGGGTGGGATGGGTAGCTGTTAGCCAAAGGGTGCAAAAGCACAGTAAGAGAGGTGCAATGCGTTCAAGATATTTATAGCGCATTGGTGCCTGGTGAATGCCTCTATCTTGTGAAGCACTAAGAAAAGACTTTTCAGTGTTCTCACACCACAAAAAACAAATACGAGGTAATGTGCATGGCAATTAGCCTGCCTGAACCATATATATTTCATGGTAACTTGTTGAACATAATAAACTTCTATGATTTTTGTCAGTTAAAAAATTAATGAAGAAAAAGAATCTATGCTTTCTGCCTGCAGCTCTCTGCTCTGACTCCAGACATATGGCACCTCAGAATCTTTTATCCAGCACATAATTTCAACCTTGTCACCACATATCCACATTTGGCTGAAGGTCTAATTATATTAAATGAGCAAGGCTGTATTAGTTTTTGTATAGTTTGCTTGATGTCAGTAAAAGAACACAGGCGTGATAAAATATTGGCTACATCTGTTGCTGTGTTTACTCAAGTTTAGGAGTTTACCCGATTAAATGTCTACCTATTATTTCCTGCTTTGTGGATTGATGAGGAAGAGGGAGAAGAAGAGGAAGGGGACTCAGGCTAACTTGTTCTCAGAGTGTGGGATGAAAAGCCTGCTCTCCCATTCCACTGCAGAACCTTTCTTCACATAGTTCAGTGGTCTCATTCCTCGCCTACTGAGAAGAAGGCTACTGTGCACTTGAAATCGCTGTTCCCATTCCCACAGTGCTTTCCCACGGGGATGAAACCTCCTCCCCAGGATACCTCCTGGAATCTGGGCTTTTCTTAGCACACCTGTTCTGTGGCTGTGTCCTTGGAGATTCCTCTCGGGTCTCTGCCACTTTGGGGACCTTGGCCAAGGCACAGCGGTCGTCGTAAGGTACTCTGAGACCCAAAACAATGAGAGGAGATCTCCTGCCTAGTTTACACCGGAAGTGAGTGGGATGGAGCTTATGAATCAGAACACCGTTGAATAAACTCACACTTATTCTGGCTTCAGGTCAAACATGTTTGGTTAAATTTAATCTTAAGAACACCAGCCAGAAGCTTTTTAGGGTAAAGATCCTAGTGACAGCTTCAGGCTTCCGTGCGAAGGCAGACCTTGGATGAGCAGAAGAGAGCTGAAGGGATTTAGGAGGGAATACAACAAACTCCTAAAATCTCACTGTCAAATCGTCCCTCTTTTGATAAAAATCTAATAATCTGTGCGAGATTGGTTATTATGGGCAGCTAACAGCTACTTTTGTTAGCTAATGGCCCAAGGTGAGGCCAAGAGCAGTTTCCACTATAATAACTGTCTGGTAAATGTAGCCATGATTGATTTGGAGGGAATTATGAGCATGATAAAAGTTTCAAGGAACATTTCCTCCTCCAAGCACATAACCCACAATATAAACCTATTCCTTGACGCTGTGTTTGCACTAAGTCATGTGTTGGTCCTCGTGCTTGAAAGCAGGACCCACTCTTGGCAGAATCAGGAATCGGGGGTGAGACAAGTTTCCCTAAAGGAGGAATGTGAATTTCTTTCTCTTTCTATCTTCATTTGCAAATGCAGCAAAGGAGTCAGGTACAGAGTCAATGGGAAAGTGCTAATAATTACGTTAATAACAGGTGACATTCATTGTGTTCAAACTGAGCATGACATGGGATCGTGCACACTACATAGAAAAGAAAAACGTTACCTAAGCCTGAAACGGCTATCCTGTATGCAAGGCTGGGCTCTTGCAGTGCTTCCCATCAACAGCTAACTGGTGAGAGTGGTTCGTTTGCCTACACTGGTTTTGCAAACAGTACAATTTGTTCTGAACACCCATTTTCCCTGAGGACTTTAAATTGTGGTATATGCCAGGGAGAGGTGCTTATGTGGGTAGCCCCAGTAAAAGGTACGGTCACTGAGTGTCTGGTGAGTTTCTCTGGCAGCCAGAGAAACTTTCTCAAGGTTGCTGCCACTCACTGCTAAAGGAATGGGCTTGTCCTGTGCAACTCCAGAGGGAACAGAGCTGGGGAAGCTTGTGCCTGGTTTTCTCTGGGCTCTGTTTCCTGAGCTTTTGCTCTTCGCTGATTTTGCTTTCCATTCCCCTGGAATAAACCTTAGCTAGGAATGAAGCTATATGCTGAGTTCTACGAGTCCTCTTCGTGAGTCACGAAACCTGGGGGTGGTCTTGGGGACCCCCTTAATACATACATTATCTAATTTGATTCCTACAGCCTCCTTACAAGCTAATTATTAGAGATGAGGAATTAGAAGTTTATAAAGGTGAAGAAAGTAGACCAACGCCAGACATTTAACAAAGGGATGTGATCAGAATTCAAATGCAGTTCCCCCTTGCTCTAAAGCCAGGGCTTATGAATACCTTGCACAGCACCCACCTGGATATCCGGCCTGCTGCTTTCAGCACAGAATGATCACTGGCAGCGTGGGGAGGCTGTCACCATTTTTCCTATTCATGGCCCATTTTGTTACAGTACCTGCCCGTCCCCAGCAAAATATAAACTTTGAAGGGGCAGGACTATGTACGCATTGTTATCTCTGACTTCCTGTTATCTCTGTCTTGAACAAATACATGCTGAATAAATCAGTGAATTTTGGAGTGTTGTATTTGTATTTCCTTTGTATTGTTACAAGATCCCTGTGAGGCAAAGTAGTAGTCAGAATCAAGCCATTTTAAAATGGTAGTTTAGAAAACTCAAAAAAGAAGTAATTTATGTCAGGGTTACATAGACTGGGATTACTGGGATATAACTGATGGGAAATGTAGGTGTCTCTCAAACACTTCTACTGTCAGGGTTTCTCTCTGTACTAGGGGCTTGTAGCTTACTGTTTGTTGTAGAGGAATCTCTGCCATCACTAAATTGTTAACAAGAAAGAGCTCTTTCTATTCACTTAAATACTTTTATAACATGATATATGGCAAAGTTAGAAAACCACTGTGGGATATACTGCTCTCTACTCATCTGAAGTTTCAGTTATCCATAGCCAACCACAGTCTGAAACTGAAATGGAAAATCCCACAAATAAACAGTCACAAGTTTCAAATGACATGATTTTTGTGAGTGGTGTGATATCCTTCCCCGGGTCACGAATCATCCATTTGTCCAGAGTATCCACAAGGTATATGCTACACCCCAATTATTACATGAAAACACTTGGTAGCATCTGCAGTTGTAGTGCTGTGCTGGAGGTCCTGGAATAGTCCCCTCACACATATGAGTGGATTGGTATGAACCAGAGAAGTCCTGAGATCCAGGGCTGTCACTGAGGAAGGTGTGTGAAACCCAATCAGCTTCATACTGCATTGACTCACCATCCTGAAGCCACAGTGTCTATGTCTCAGTCTATCTGAGTCAAGTCCCAGGACAGCTAATATACAGAGTACTTCAAAATAAACAAAACATTCTGGGACTTCAGCTGTTGTTTTGTTTTCTGCCAAGAAAGAGCTGAGAGCAATGAAATAGACTCAAACAAATTTGGAGAATTCTTAGAATTGTTTATAATATAATGAACTTGAAGTAACCTTGGATGCAGGAATTAAGCTTTTGTTTTAAGTATTTAGTTCTTCTTGTTTGTTTGGTTTTTTTTTTAAGTATGTGTTTTTTAAAGCCTTGTTTGGCACATCCAAGAGAAGTAACAGTTTAGTTTGATTTGTGCTGCCTTCACTCAGAATATCTTGAAAATGAACATAGGACCATCAGTCCGACAGGTTTCTACTTATATTTTCATTGTTCTCCAAAGCAAAGAGAAGAATGTATCCCATGAATGTGTGCTGGCACTCATAGAGTGGTACTGAAAAAGAGGGGCCTGTTGGGAATATGGTAACCAAACTTTCAGTATTCCAAAACTAAATCATAGAAGAGTAATATTTTGATTTGCGTCACTACAGTAGCTGCAGTGAATTTGATCTCAGCTCCAAGCTCCAGAAAGTCCAGACAGAGGGGGCCAAGGTCTGCAGGAAGAGAGAAGGGTGCTGGCTCCCACTACTTACAAACCACATGTAGGAAAAGGACAGCGGAATCTGAGCCAAGGTTGTTCTCCGCATAAGCTGTCACCTGGAAGATCCCCGCACTCTTATACACATGCTTGATGCCGTCCTCAACAGGGCTGAAGTTAGCATAGGACACAGCAATCCCATCCCCAAAGTCAAGCTGGATATTTGTCCTCTGGAGGTCACCCTGCAAGACAGAAGGGCAGCTGGCCAGGTCCATTCACGAGGTCCTACCTGACTTCCGGCTGAGTTTTCTCCTGGGCTTCAGCGTCACTCTGTATGGGTCCAGAGCCAGTCCTGGGGAGTAGAAACACCCAGCACGATCAGCAGACTTCTGTCTGCCCTCATTTCTCCCCGGCAAACACTGTAAGACCAAGCTCAGATCAGCCCCAGTCTCTAAGGCCTCGGCAGTAGTAGGAGAGCACTGCAGTGTGAACCCCAAGGGCTGCCTGACATCTTCACATGCCTGGCTTATTTCTTCTTTGATGTAATAGAAATAGCAATGATAATAGCCACAGCTAACAAGTACCAAGCAATTAATGGTCTCACAAGTCCATACTGTAGAAGGTATTTACAATTGATAAGTGGAGGTAAAAGCACATTAATTATACCGGTCTCGTGTCTACTGGTGGAAAAATCCAACTTACAAACAGTCTAGTTCCAATACTCCTGCTCTCAACTCCATGCCAGTCTTATACTTGTTCTTATTTTTTAGTATCCATTATGTCCCAAAGGCTAAGTCATCACTTAACACATATTGTGTATTGTCATCTCCAAAATAATAATAACATACAGTAGAGGATGGATGAAAACATCATACTCTCCAAATCTGTATCTCCATTCTCTTATTGTCAGACTTCTCAGAAGCTGCCTAAACCCCCTCTTTACTGAAGCCTCTTCTGACTGTCCCAGGTCACAGATGTCCCCACTTGGTCTCATGATGGCCATAGTTCGGCTGAGTAGCTCATTAACCCCATCCCAGACAGAGCTTCCTAAGGACGGATGCTGGGCCCTTACTTCTGTACCCCCAGTACATGGGACCAATACTTTAAATCAGTGCAAGGAACCTAACAACAAACCAAAGGTCCGAGTGAAGAAAAACAAGATATTTCTGTTCACGTACAAAGATGAATGATGGAACAAAAAGAGAAATACATTTCTGTGGAATTAAGAGCCCCATAATTATGCATTGGTCACAGTTTTCCTTTCCATCTCTTCCCCTGTGGCAGCCCAGGTGTGAGTGAAATATTGATAGTTGCTCTTTTGACCTCCATACAATATCAGCCACCCTCACGTTTATAAATATAAATTAAAGTGGAAATGAACTCAAGGCAATTCAAATGGATAATATCATGGTTCTTCAGGTCCATTCAAGGGAAGGCTTCTGGAAACTCCCTGGTGGCAATGTGGTAATGACCTCCTCCGACTCTTAAAGTGCTCCAATTCCAGCACCAGGGGTGGGTGAAGCAGAGGTATCTCTCGCCTGGGATAAAGAACCTTCACCACCCTGTCTGCGTGGTCTTGACTTTAAAGACCTACGTGCCCACATCTGTGAGAAAAACCCTCTGGCCTACTCCACTCTCTTTCTGAGATCAAGAGCACAGAGCAATTTGCATATAAATTCAGCAGGCTTTGTCAATCAGGCAAGCCTTCCAGCTGCTCTGACTCAGGAGCCCCAGAGTTCCAGCTTGGGAAGAAGTGAATCTGCTCACAGGAGGGGCAGGGGCAGAAACGGGGTGGGGGGCACAGGTACTTTCGGCCTGGAATAAAAGCAGTCTGATTTTACTGCCAGGATGAACTGATGGACCAGGAAGCTGATGTAAAAGCAACTAATATAACATGTGTTACAAAGACAAATTTAAAGCATTTTCATAATCTTCCCCCACCCTCAAACTCACACTTTCAAGAGCCTGTAAAAGCTTTGTGGGCCTTTCTAATCAGTGGGCCTTAAGGTTAGAAAAGGAAAAGAAGACCCTAAAAGCAACACGTGTAAGTTCAATTTCTTTTTCTGGCAGTTGACAGTGTATGGTATTATGGTGATGAACATTTCCTAAACAGACCCTAAAGGGGAACCTGAAGGATACATGCAGCTCTGCACGCCCCAGAAGCAAGCGGACCCCACTGCAGACCCAGCCTTCTTCCGGGAAAGGAGGAGGGCATCTACACACCACGCCTTCCTTCACCTGCCATCTCTGCCCTGCAGTCTTCACTCATTACTGCGGTCAGGGGGCAGCACCATGGGCGTGGGGTGGGAGGTCTTTGCCTCCTCCTCCAGGAAAGGGGAATGGCCGCGGGCACACGAGTCCCAACTCCAGAGGTCCCGGGGGGCACCCACCTCCTCCATGAGGATGATGAAGGTCGCATTGTGGCCCTGCTCGGCCACCAGACGCCCATCATTTGTCACCACGTGCAGGCCCCGAGGGGCTTTTCCAGGACACAGCTGGGCCTTGGCAGAATACTTGTCCCTCAGTCCATCTGTGCAATTGTTGGACACAATTCTCCGGTACCTGAAGACAGGTAACAATTGAGATGGGTGCGATTTGTGCAGGGGGAAAGACAGGGAGAGGGAGGGACAGGGAGGGAGAGGGAGAGAGGGAGAGAGAACAAAAACAAGAGAGATGTTTCTTGCACCTGCTTCTAAGTCTCACAAAAGGCAGCCACTTAGGAAGACAAGCAAATGCTGAGGAACTGCTGCCCCCTCATCTCGGGAAATGGGGCTCCTTAAACATTATTATTGATCCTACCTGGTGAGCCATGGATTGGATCAGTATCTAAACCAGCCAAGAAAAACCAATATCTGGGTCACGCCTAACAGAGTAGGTGGGGGGCAGTGGGCCAGGGAGGGAGGAAAAGCAGGTACAGCTCCCTGGCAGGGCGGGGCCGGGTTCATTTTGCCAAGACCTCCTTCACTAGAACATGAGGTGTCCAACTTTAATTAATTCGGAGGGCTCTTCCTGTCTTCTCTCTGTCCCCAGGATGTCATTTTTTCCTTAATACCTAATAGCCCTTACTCCAGAGCTACTGGGCTATTCTACAGCACATTTTTCTCTCTGCTAATATTTCATGTCCTATCCAACACAAGTGCCAGCTTAGAAGCAAAGGTTTGAGACTCTGTTTCAAAGTAAAATCACCTTGCCAATGAGGCTGGATTGGGAAGACGTCCTATAAAGCCATGTGACCTTCCACGACAGGTGTCCTGTCTACAGTGATGACTTACCACTTGCTCTGCTGGCCTAAATATCTAATTTACATTCAGACATTATTTTTAAGTATGACACAAACTGCAAACCTTTACTAAAGTTAATATTTTATAAAACCACATTAAGTAAATCAGCAGCACTACCTCCAACACCACACCACCATGCCCACCGCCATCTTCAATGCTGTAGTTTCTCTTTGCTCTCTCTGTAGTCAGGAATATTTAACCAGCCCATCCATGCTGCTTTCTACTGGTGGCCTCAAAACCAGAGAAACCCCAAACCTTGGGTGGGACTGGTCCTGCCTTACACCTGACGTTTCTCGCTGTGTCTCCCAGTGTGAACTACCTATGCTAGCCCTTCTTGCAGAGAGTGCTGGAGGCAGTTCCTGGCCCACGTGGTTGCTGTGCATTGAGCTCACGTCTGTGGCAGCCACTTGCCATGTGTGGGTACCTCGTGCCTGCAACATGGCCAATGTGGTGTGTTAAAAGGATAATCTCTTTGCTATATCTGGTTACATAAAATACATTATTGAAACTCAGCTCAACTTCTGAAACTTTTAAAATACGGTCCTTAGAAAATTTTAAATTATATTTGTTCCCCATAATATATTTCTTCTCTTTATCACAGGTTCAGATCATCAAAATCCTCTAACCAGCTCCTACTTTCTTTCTCACATTTACTCACAAGGTATTTCTTACTGATAGATTATTTCGGTGAGTACCATGTCCTAATGTAAATGTAATACCTACTCTTTCTCTTTAACTTCAACTGATTACAAACTCAAGCTGGCTGAGGATCTCAGATGTAAGCCAACATTTAAGAAATCTGGAAGTATTTGTAGGCATCTATAGTGAATTCTTTGAGAAAATGTGAACTGACTGCTTTTCACCTTCTTGGTTTATCTGGCTAGTTGCTTGGGGATTCAGTATACCCAAACTGCTTAAAATTGGGTCCGCTTACACATGCTGCACGATTATGGGCGATATCCTAATGCATTTCCTTTCCAGTGACGTCCAAGGGATATAATGAATAGGAATTGAGAGGCCCAGGTGATTCCTTGTGACCACTGTATCCCTCTTTCTCAAAATTTTTAGCACTTTTTCCATAACATCCTATCTCCTTAAGTTCAAGCTGCTGGATTTACAGTTTTACTGGCTTACGTTTCTAAACCAATAACACAACATCAATGGGCCTAAAACTTCAGCCCAAATTCCAGGAACAGCCCTCCTAGAACCAAATATATGACCAAATATATCATGTCTTTCAGAGTACAGAACACTTACTATGCTTTTTTTCATTACCACACTTATTTTTCCTCTGTAAATGTCAGCTGCGAGCTACCACAATCTTACACCCAGGGAAAAGTAAAGGGAGGCGAGTAGCTTGGCTAAGAAGATGGAAGATCCATTGGAGAAAGCAAAACAGAAGTCCAGACATCTTAGTCCCATGACACTCACAGAGCACATCCCTAAGGGAACTCTGAGTATCTGAGAGGCAACTAACAAGCAAACAAAGATGAAGAGATGCACAGCTAGAGAATTACTGAAAATATGCCTTGACCTTTTTGTCCCAGAAGTTCCTCAGGATCAGACTTCTGAAATTTCATTACAAGTTTTGAGCATGAGTGTTTGAGAATTTACATTCATCTTCCACCAGTTAACTTCACCTGAGGCCCCAGGAATAAAGGCAACATCCCTTCCCAGGAGAGAAGTTTTACCAAACAATAGAATCTGCCAGAGGTAAATGGCAAAATGCACTGAAAGCTAGGCAATTGGAAATCTCTTCTGATGCCGTTCAGAAAATGTACTCTCAAGCTAAACCACTCAGCTTTCTCCAAAGCTGCTTGTCACAAACAAAGTCCATTCACACATCATCTTCTTGGACAGCAATGCATTTCCTTTGATTCCAATGCAAGGAAGTGTGGAAACCATGAGTTAAGTTCCTCCACATGGTACTTACCCAGTGCTGTTAAGGTAACTTTGCCCAAGACTGCAGTCCTTTGAGGGAGACGCTGGGTTATACCAGAAAGCAGGGACGCACTGGTTCTCCCCATGTCTCTCATAGCCATAGTCACTGTTAGGAAAAGAAGTGTGGCAGAAGAGTATGAGTACACAAACGCGAAAACACGCGCAGACACACCTAGGCCTATGCATATCCCACTGTCACCCAAAGGCCACAGCACACTGTTTCATCTGACCCCGGGGAAGGCAATTGTTCATGCTTTGGAAATGAATTATAAACAGATTTATAAACAATCCCAAGTTAGTCAAAATCCAGTCTAGGGGGCAAAGGAGTAGATTACCACACAGAAATTGCAGGTTACAAAAGTGTGTATTTAAATAACATTACAGGCACCTCAGTTTGAGTTGGCACCGGAGTGCTGCAGTAATCACAAAAGATTACTTTTGGTCACAGTAGAAAAATGAAGTCAGTAGACAAGAATCAAGGAGATGACTGTAAAAATTAAAATACATTTCTGTACTATGACTTCATATGTGTTCTTCAAAAGTGTGTTTCATATGCTTTATTTTCACTTTTTCCTGAAAACTCATCCGTCATCAAATACAAATACACATGTGCATTTAAATATACATACGCAGTCATTCAGTCTTCTACTGATTAGATAAAACAAGAACAGTATTTCCCTAAAGATGAAGCTATAGTGCTTTTCAATGTGTCTGTAAAACATCAGGTATAATAGAATGAGAAAAGTGAGGTGTGTTCCCCTTTTTCTCCCATGTGCAAAATGAGTAACAGACCAAGGCATGGAAGGAAATCCCCATCCAAAGGCCAAAGCGGGTTCCCATGCTTTGCAGAGTTCCCGGAAGTTCCCAGGAGTTACAGGGGTCAAAGTACAAGTGGGTAAAAGGACTTAGTGTTGCTGTGCCCATTTGGAGGTCACTGAGGGTGGCGTCTCATGCAGGAGAATTCAGTTCATGCCACTGTGTCAGTGTCTAGGTTTTCCTGAAACCCATACACAGGGCCACACCGTCTTGAGTATTTGTGTATTGACCCATGGGGTGTTAAGGAAACATGTAATAGCTCTGGAAGTCACTTTTGGCACCCAGCCCTGCTCTCTTTTCCTGCTCCCATATTCTCTGGACCGATATTTCATGGAATCCGATGGAAACACAGGCTTGGCAATGAGAGACACAGCACACCGCACATCTTGCTGGAGAACAGAATAGTGCTGCAGGAGGCAGAGCACAAACCGGCCTGGAAGGGCCAACTGAGTACCATGTCCATGGATGATCTCTGCCCAGCCTCATTCCACCCCATGTTCCACCACCAAACCCATAGCGAGCATCCCTAGCCAGGCCCTCCAGCTCTCTATATATTTATATAAAATGCCTGGGGCTTTCTTGTGTTTGGTCATTTCTTACTCATCCTTCTTTAATATCTAGGTTGTATGAAGCCATCCTTAGTTCCTTAGACAAAATCTTCAGACTCATAATGTGTTAGAAAGGCAAATGCAAACTGCAGAAGAGCGGGGATGGTTGCCCCCGGTTTCCAGCCCTGTACATTACATCTAAGGCACTGCAGGTGTGGACCAGAAAGTCACTGAGTGAATGGCTACTCCGCCTGCATTAAACTTGGCCTTGCTAACAATCCCATTATGTCCTGTCTGTTTGTGCAGGAGGGCTGTGATTCCCTCCCGGCACTCCGGTGTCGGCCACAGTGAGCACACACGGTGCTCAAGAGACGGCTAGGGAGAAGTGTGAGAGGAGACTCACACATAGCAAGGCAGAGCTCAAGATCAGCTGTGTTTTAATGAAAAAGGAAGAAAGGAAGGAGAAAGAAACGTTTCTGCCAAGTAAAACTTGCCAAACCTCCTAGTCAACTACTGAGATCTCACGGCCAGACATGGACTTAGTGTTTGCCAGTTTGCCACAGCCCATGAGATCTGACTGTTACAGTTTCACGGACTTTGCAGGCTAATTAACAGTAATTTAAACAAAACCACTGTTAAAATTGAATTACATAAGCTTCCTATTAGTTATGCATTTATAAATACTCCGCATGAAATTTCCCAATTGCTGTGTTGTATTTTATTATTACTCTATATACCATACTACATATAAAATAATACATTATCATGTTATTTGTGTACTCTTTTTTTTTTTTGTACCAGGGATCGAACTCAGGACCTTGTGCTTGCGAGGCAGGCATGATGCACTGAGCTAAATCCCTGTAAGTTTGTGTTTTTGAGGTCCTTTCCACCTATGTGTCTGTATGGCAGGAATATTGTAGAGTGTGGGGTTGCTTCCTGTCTCCCATTCTGCATTCGCTGGTGTCATATAGGTAGCTCAAAGTCTGCCGTGGTAGGAATATGTACAAGAAGCACTATTTATTTGTTCCAACACAGCCAGTAGTTAAATATGTACCAGCACACCACTGAATACACCACTGGATTTGTCCATGGAAAGATTAAGCTGTGAGGTATCTGCAGCTCCTCAGGACCATCCTCTGACCCCTTTTCGAGGTGAGCCTGTTGAAAAGTCCTGCTGACCTAGGGAACAGCCATACTCTGTGGAGGAAGGGCACTCTTCCAAGCAGCTCTGGGAGGGAGAGAAACATTTCAATGCTGTTTGGGAAATGTAACCATCTTCAGCAGTTCGGTTCAGCTCTGCTACCTGTTAGTGATGCAGTAATTAAAAAGGGGTGCATCAGGCAGGCTGCTTCACCCCAAAGAGCAAAAGCACCTCATTAATATTTAACAACTTTAATGTACACTGACTGCCACGAGCCTTGGACTTCTCCATTAATTTCTGCTAAGTGTATATTAAAATCTCTCACACTGTCCAACCTCCTTCCCAGCTCAGGAGTCAGTGTGATTTACACAAACAAGGGGCTTTCGCTGCTGCTCCAGGCCCTGTGGAAAGGAGCTCTGCTGAGCTACAAGCCCTGGACACATAAGCCGGAAAGGCTTCTTTGCCTCAGGGAAGAGAGCATCACAGATGCTGGAACACACCAGCACCTTCCCTCAAGAGATAAGTCATTCCGTTGTGTTTCTTGATTATAAACCATTCAGAGTGTCTGAATGTTTAGGGGAAATTTTGTTCAGTTTCAGGAATGTGTACATCTTTTAAACCACATCCATCCAAGGAAAGGACTTAGATTTTCAAGGAGGAGCAGCCAGGACAGTTGAGAAATCAAAGGTCCCTGTCTGTCAGAATAGGAAGGGACGCTTGTATGCCTTGGGTCCAATCCCCACCATTGTGGACTGGAAAGGAAAAGCCAAAAGAGGACAAATGACTCGGTCCAGGTTGCACATCGCTGAGAGGAGTAGCTGGAGATAAACATCAGGACTCCCACTGCCTCTTCAGCATTAATACAATACCATGTGGCACCTATTTCCCAGAGAGGTGAATAACCACAGTTATCGGTCTTCTGAACGAGCTGCCGGGCTGCCCGAGTCACACACCATGCACAGTTCCACTGCCACTGCCTGGACCCCTGCTCCCCAGCCTCCTGCAGCTGGTGGGGCAGCTGAAATCACAGGGCTGGTGTCCACAAGGGCCTGTGACTCCTGTTAGGACCTCACATAACTGGTAAATTTGAATTGGACACACAGTGGACACTCCAAAATCTAGAAGCAGCCACAACACCAATACCAACAGTAGATAGATCATCAACATCACCATCATTTAGCTAATGTGAAAGCCTGCGTGCAGTCACAGAGAAAGGCATCTGTATCCAAGTCATTCCCAAAATTGTTTGGAAAACCCAATAATCATCCCTGAAATATTTCTCCTAGTCTAACCTTATTCTATCTGCCTCAACCCTCAAACTCACCCAAACCTTTCTCCTGTGCCTCTGTGTTTATGACAGTCCAGTGTCCATTTCTCTGAAGGTCACCTTTTTTTCCTTTAATGCCTCTGCAGAAGTCTATACAGCACCCCTACCACCTCCTAGGGTGATTTTTACACTAATCTGCTAATCCACCATCGCCCCTGGCGATCTTTGCTCCCCATAGAACTTGCTACAGTAACAGAAACGTTTTCTATCTATGCTGTCCAACATGGTAGTCACTAACCAGTACAACTAAAGAATTGATGTTTAAATTTCATTTCACTCTATGCCAACATTCACATGATTAGTGGCTGCTACCATTATAATGGACGGTATAGTTAATGTCCCATCAAATTCAGCACTTAATTGTATTTTTTATTATTCTTGGTTTTACCTTCTTTTAGTGCAGTAACTCTCATTTAGACATTGTTTATTATTTTGTTTACACTTTGGCATGGCTGCTATACAGGCAACACGCACTCTTGTGTTCCATACGCACAATACTACAGCTCAAATGGACTTCGGACACATCTGAATTCATGTGCCGTGGAATCCCCAAATCTCTCTCTGTCTTCAGTCTATATCACCACATCCGGGCTTTGCTGCGAAGGTCTGATGCCACACTGGAGATGACACTCAGTCTCATGATTCGGGAGTCAGAATAGTATCATCTCCAGTAAATGGACCTCTGTCTCCAATGCCACCGATAAAATACATGGAACAGAAACTCTCCTTTAGGAGTTGGCCAAGGCAGGAGAGTAGGAGAACAGATGTCTAAGAGTTGGTACAATACCCGCAAGGCAGTCAGCAGAGTTAGCGTCTGGTGAGCAAGCCATCAGGGGAGCGATGAAGAGAACACTGCCTACACCAGCTTCTCCCCGATCAATGTCCTCCACAGGAGCCCCTGTGGGGCTTCAGAGTACACCCCGATGCTCCCCTTTCTGACTCCCACAAGGCTCTGACGATCCTAATTCTCAGTGAGAATTTGCTCCTGGCTCCTCACTAGCACCACAGAGGCAACTGCAAAGTAGCTCTCCGGTGTGAGTTTGAGCAGGAGGGTAGAAGGCACTTAAGCTGAAGCAATGGCAATTACGCAGTGCTCACCCTTAATGCTGAACTCACTCTTGTGAATGTTGTGGAAACCAGTGACCTGCTCCCCATAAAATGCTTCTGAGAGTCCATACACCTCCTCTCTAAACAGAGGAAGGACATGGGTAAAAATTACCCTCCCTCTGTGTTTCTCAATGCCTCTACCACTTTCTCCAGCCTTCAACCCCTGTAAACCAGGTTACATCTTCTCCCTGCTGTGCCTGAGACTTAAATTTGGCATGGGCCAATCAAATGAGTGCACCCTGATTTGGCTGCAGGAAAGAACTAAATGGAATGTACATGACGATCACTTTTACTGACTGAGCAGAGCACCTCGGGTTGCTGAGCTAACGGGACTTCCTGACAGGGAAGACCACTCAGAGGGGAGAAGGCTGGGGACCGCTGCCATGTGCTGATTTCTTCTTGCATTATCATTAAAGACCAAGAGACAAATAATATTCGATGAAAGTTAAAGCCAGTAGTGATGGGTACTGAAGTGGACTTCAAAACAAAAAAAGGTCATTTCAAATATTCACCCCTCAAAACCACTGCAAATGATCCACAAAATTTAGAACTCAAAAACTGCTTCTTTTATGCCCAGAAATGGTAAACAAAATGTTTTCTACGCCATATGCTTTTCTTGCTGCTGCTCTCCAATGAAGAGTATTATTGGCATCCAACCCTGTGTGCTTGTCAACTGTGTCTAAGTCTGAAGTAACCCTCTAACTTCTTTTTAGTATGAGGTATGATGGACCACAGAAATATAAACACACAATCACTCGCACAGAAAAGAAAATCTGTAAAGTCTTCAAGGAGACCATATGTCTGTCTATTACAGTTGCAGCACCAAAGGTCCATCCAGACTACTTCACTGGAACTTGTTTTGGGGTTAACGAAACATCCTATACTAAAGTTCAGCAACAGCAGTAAACACAGGTCACTTGGAGGTGAGCTTTAAATTTTGGCATAACTAAACATGGAGACCCTATTTCTTCTACACGCAAAGTAAATCTAAACGACTAAGACTTGCTGCACTTGAGAAATGATGCACAGACGACAGACTGTGAGATGTACCGAGCCCCCAGTTGGAACGCCAGCTTTCCTGTGTAACCGGAGTCAAGTAACTTATGGCAAAGATTCTCATTTCCTCCTCGTTCACTTGGCAGGAGGAAAGAAGCTGAGTCGGTGGACCATGGATCCGGGTGTCACGTCTGCCAGTGCAAATGTGAGAACCACAGGATACCTCAGGAGGGATTCTCTCCCACCCCCTGCTTTACTTACAGATGGATTCTCACAGCAAGCCCCAGAGAAGGGCCCAGGAACACTTTATGCAATGCCACCAACATTAAAACAAATGGATCGTACTCAAAGGTAGCACTGTGAAGACAGTGCTTACTGGGACGTGGGGACCAGTAAGACTGTGGGGACCACTTAACCAGCCAGGGGTGCAGGTTTCCCATAGCACAGCAGCAGCAGTCACTGCGTGTTGTATGACTGCTTTACACACCACCGAGGCAAACGGCTTCTCTACAAAAATGGTGTACATTCATTCCCTTACTCACTCACTCACTTCTCCCTAGAACCTAATGAGATACATGTCATGCATATTTTTATTTTGGGGCTAAGAAGGTGAAGTCACAGATGAAGAATAAAATCCCAAGCTCAACATCTGAATATTTGCACGGTGGTTTTTATTCAAACCAGTAAATGTTAATGGAATTGCTAAAGGAAAGACACATCTGTTGTCGACCTATTCCTTATTTGTGTGGCCTCTCAACAGTGGGTGAGGGCCTACTATGGCCCAGGGAGACCCAAGACAACAAATGACAGTGATGCCTGCATGCCCACCTTTGCAGCATGATAAAAATAGCCACATTTTGGAAGTGGCTTACAAGTGAATGAATAAAAAAATGTGGTTCTTATACACAACGGAGCACTACTCTGTCATAGAGAAGGACAAATGTGAGTCATCTGTAGGAAAACGGAGGCAGCTTGAGACCAGCACAGTAAGTGAAATACATCAGGCACACAAGTTTAAATATTACATAACTACTGTGATGTGAGAAACCCAAAGCATCAATAATTAAAAACATAAAAGATAGACAATAGAAAATAGGGAGACAGATTCCTTGCAAATGGGAAGTGGATGTAGAGGTGGAGGGAGTGGGGAGCAGAAAGGAGAAGGTAATAAAATAACTAAGATACGTTAAGTACACATATCTACTCCCTAAGATGAATGCAGACATTACGTACCGTGAACACGTACCGGCGAAAGACTGAAAAATAAAAGGGGAGAAGTGCAGAGAGGACCAGTAGACTTAGAGCAGTGCTTACAGATGTGGAGATGGGTCGAAAGGCTTCAACAAAGGGGGGTTCTGGAAGAAGAAACTGCAGAGAATCACGGATGGTCTCCTTCTGGGGGTGAGGAGGAGTAAGCAAGCCCCATTGGGCTTTCTATTTCAGCCACCAAGCGGATAGCTGTCTGTGTTACTGAGGCTGGGAAAGCAGGCCAGGAGCTTCTCCCAGTGAGTGATTCAAGTAGAGCTCTGCTTTGGCCACAGTAAGTTTGACCCTGGTCAGCAGATCCAGAGATGTACGCTGAGTCGACACGCACACACAGACACATGTCTCTGTCCAAGGGGAGAGGAGGCGTGGCTGGAGGGGACCACAGGGACGTGCCTGTGATGGGGTACAGGTGAGATTTAAATCTCAACAGACGAGAACTTAGGGTGTAGGGACAGAGGGCTCGCTAACACGTGCGAGGCCCTCGGTTCGATCTGTAGTACCACAAAAAGGACAAAGTAAACAAAACAATAAAACACAATTAAGTAGCAGAGTCTGAAATTCCCAAGACACAGAAATGATCAGTGGTTGAGCAGACCAAAATGCTAATTAACCTAAATGGAACATTGCACAGTGTACTCATATACAAGTTATTACACCAAACCCCATAAGCATGTACAGATATTGTACGTCAGGTAAAAATTAAAATACAAATGAAAGAAAGTGATGACAGAGAGTACCCACGGAAGCACAGCTTGAGTGAACGTGAGTGGAGGTGCCCGGCCAAGCGGCAGCTTTCCAAGCCCAGTCCCCGGAAGTCCAAGGAGGCAGCCTCTGACACAGGGAGCTTCTCCCCACGAGGGGACCTCGGCTGTCCTTCCAGCCACACAGACCTCCCACCCGTCCCTCTCACCATGCTCCAGGCACACTCCCCACCTTTGGATGGGCCTTCCTCCACTGACTCCATTGCACACATGCACACAAGAACATCTGGCTGTGGTTGGTGACTGAATGTCGACAGACTCACCACTCAAAGTCCCAGTCGGTGCAGACACAGGGTTCTGAGACCACGGACCCCGAGTAGTCCCGGCCTAGGGCACACTGAGCTCCTGGCTTGCGCTTCTTGAAGATTTTCCTTTCTCCCATGACACAAGGTTCTCCCTAAAAGGAAGAGTCCTCAGTGAGAGAGCAGAAGAGCAGACAGGAGGCGATGTACAGCAGCTTTTCAACTGGGAACATCATTCTTTTCATTCTCTTTAGTTGGTCTAGGTAGCAATTTTATTCCCACTAGCTAGGAAATTTCAAGAACAGGAATGTTAGTCTCAGACCACAGCCTTGAGGTGCACCATGGGAGGTCAGCCCACTGTTGGCTCCTCCCTCCTTAGCCCACAGTGTCTCCATCACGAGCTTCTCCTCCTCCTCTCAGACTCCCGGCGCACTCCCCGGGTGGCTTCATAGCACATCTAGGGGAAAGAGGTCAATTCTGACATATTTTCTTCTCCTCCCCCACACAGGAAGGCAACCCAATGACCCAGTATGCACAGCTCCTCTCCCTGAAGGCCAGTACACTCCACCCTGGCTGTACCTGATTCAACAGGTGCCATGTCTGATAGTCCTCCTTGGTGCAGCGCCGGCTAAAGATGGATTTGTAGTCCACTTTCACCAACTGCCATTCGGAGCGCAGGCTAAAGTGGCCAAAAACTCTGTTTAGGAGAGGATGGGAGAGACAAGCAGAGAAGGCCCACGGTCAGTCAGAAGGGCGCCAAGACAGGAAGGGGGGGCGGAGGATGACTCCACTGCAGCCAGTCCTTCTGTTTTTCCACAGAGAGTTCCTTGAAGGCCACCGAGGAAACCCAGCATTCTCACTGCCCTAGTCCATTGGCATGTCATTCACAGTGGGTTTCACTACAGTGGGCTTATTTTTAGTGCAAAAAGTAACATATGTGCTATATAGGAAGCATTAAGATACCAACAGTATAGAGCAATAAAAAGTCCAGCCAACAGTCCACAGTCCATTACCTACATAAGACCATTGCTCATGTTCTGATAGAGCCTTCCTCCTTCCACTCTCTGCAAGCACTGTGGTTCTGTCTTCCTAGGTGCACTTATGAGGACCCAGTACTCTCATTTGGAGAGAGAGAGAGAGAGAGAGAGAGAGAGAGTGAGTGAGTGTATTGGGAGACTGGGAATAGATTTTCCAAAATATGACCCCTCCAATGGCAAAATCTTGCATCACTTAAATTGTGTGTGTGTGTGTGTGTGTGTGTGTGCGTGTGCGTGCGCGCACGTGTGTGTACCAGGAATCAAACTCAGGGACTCATAACTGCTAGCAGACACTGCGCAGCTGAGCTACATTCCCAGCCCTGAGCATGTTTTAGTAGAAATTCCAACTGCCCACCTCACATTAATGCTCACTTTCCCACCTCCTTCCCTGAAAAATCACACCAGCCTCATAAAAGGAACTCATATTTATGTATGGTAAAGAAGCAAACGTCTGAGTGATATTGCTAATCAATAGTGAACTGTTCAAAGCTCAGCAGTTGATAGCCCTATAAATATGAATGATTAATAGTTGTTTCTAGAAAAATAGAAAGCACTGATCATCTGTACCCCGCTTGGGTTGCATGTCTTGCAATTACAAAGCAAGGCATCAACCACAGCCATATGAAGGGGAGGCCAAGCACTCCGGGAGCTCTAAACAATGGAAGTCTTTCCAGGAACTGGATGGCTTGTGCTTCAGCAAGACTTAATCACACATCACACTACCAGCCAGGATTGTGCTGTGCCCAAATCAAGTAACTCTTTTCATGGAACATTTCTTTCTCCTATGGGAAAGAAAAAGATGAAAAAAATGATGGAATGTGAAAGAAATAGGATTGTTTGTATAGATAAGACAAAATAAATCTCAGGAAACAACTTTGAACATATTATCAGATAAAAGTTAAACAGAATTGGTAGAGCTTTATCTAAAATACGATTGATCAGCCATTGTGGAAGAGACTGGGGTATCTCCCCATAAGTAATACTTTTCCTCAGCAACGGGTAGTACAGGCCTGAGCCAACCATGGGGGCTGATGCTGTGTGGAGCTGAGTGACCCCGACTCTCCCCTGGGCCTCTCTGTTTTTTTGTATTCTCACTAAGTCCAGTGGTTTCCAAGTCTTGGACACTGACAGCAGATCATCCACTAAGGAATTTCCACCTTCCAATTCTGAATTCATCCAGAGGTCGTGAGTCAGCTCATTTTAAATCTTTAACAAAATAGCAACTTCTTATAAATTTCTACTTGAAGAGAGGAGAATTTAACTGATAAGCCCAGCCGAAAGACACAAGAGTGGGAGAAGACCTTAACAAATGTCTCCTTCCTCCTCTGTCCGGTTTATTGAACTCCTTCCACATTCAACGCCACTGTGCCCAGTAAGTCTTCCTGATCAGCCAGTTCTGAGTAGCAGAACAGAACGGAAGTGATGTCAAGTCAAACACTTCTGCTATTATAAGCCATTTAGTTATTTTGTGGATCATGAAATATCTCATGTCAGCCCGAGCTGATTCTTCCCTATGAGAAGATAACTAGGCAGAGAGGAGGGAATCACAGAGGCATGTGATTTACTTGAATGTCCCCCAGCCACAGCGGACAGGTGTGGCACTGCAATTCTGAAGGAAAGATGGGAAAAAAATACGAGCCAGACACTAGTAAAATTATTTGGCGGAACGGCACCTAATTAAAGTATTAAAATCAACCAGTCACAGGAAGTGTCAGGAGTCACCCTCAAGGCTCTGTTGTCTGCTCTTTCTTATTCATTGTTTCCAGTAATGACTTGAAGACATGAATGTAAGAGTCATCAATGGAAATTGAACTTTCCATTAACACAAAGCTGGAAGAAAACATCAAAATATTTGATGGCAGAATCAGGACCCAAGAAGGCCTTGACAGTCTCAAGAGATAGGCTGAACTTAATAAGATGTGATATAACAGAGAGAAATGTCAGATCTTCCCTCTGGTAGTGACATAAGAATCAGATGAAAAAAAAAATCAGACTTGGGACCGTGGAGGTTAAAGAGTAATAAGAATATCACCTTTAGATTCTCTCATATACAATGTGATCGATACAAGTTTACACTTCAGGGAGACATGAAATACTTAAAGATGATCTTGAAATAAACTGACAGAATTGAGCATAGTACTTAGAATAAAATAAGCAATATCCTGAGCTCTTCTATGTTGGCCAGATCACAAAGAAAAATTGTGGCTGTTTTTGGATATTACCATTGGAAAAAAACATAGACTAAGTGCTTCAACCTACAGTACACGTGTGGGGCTTTGCTGGGCACAGTGGATTTTGAATTCATTGAAATTTTAAATAAAAACACGTTCAAATAAATATCTTTCATTTTATTGGATTTTTCAAAGGAGTTCACAATTCTCAAAGTTTAATGACTAGTGAAAAGAGTGATCCAGTTAAGATGATAGGTACAGGGTTGAATAGAGGCCTCCAACAAGATCTACCCAAGTCTTGTTCCCTGGAACTGTGAACGTGACTTCCGTGGGGGGAAAAGGGTCTTTGCATATGTGACTAAGTTAAAGATCTCAAGATGAGATCATACTGGATTAGCAAGATGGCCCCTGAATCTAACGACAAATGTCCTGGTAACAGGCAAGAAGGAGACAGACATGCCGTGAGAAGAAGGTCATGGGAAGACAGAAGCAGAAATTGGAGTGACTCGGGCACAAGCCAAGAGGCCCCTGGAGTCACTGCATGAAGGAAGAAGTAAAGAACAAATCTTCCCTGCCAAGCCCAGAGGAAGCACAGCCTTGATGATGACTCTAATGTTGAACTCTGGCCTCCAGAATTGTAAGAGAATAAGTATGTTTTTTGAAACTGTATGATTTGTGGTGATTTCTCACAGCAGCCACAGGAATTAACACAGATAGCAATGGGGATCATTTCATCTCTCTGCAAGAAGTGGCTTAAGTACTGTTTGGTACCTGCACCCATCTTACAAAAGGGAAGGGGAGGTAAGACTAACAGGTGATGTTCTGTGAATGTTTATAAAATGCAGGAGAATTTTCTAACGAAACAGCCTACAGAGCAAAGGATGCTCTAGAATTAGTAAACAAAACTTCAAGCTCACACTGGACCATATGGCAGGGCTGACACTCGACAGGATGTGAGGGTTATGCAGATGCATGGCTGGCTGGGGATGCCCATGTCGGTTCCCCCATTGCTTGGGGATGTCTGTCTCTGATCTCAGGGAGCTCTTTTCAGAATCGAATACAAGAGCTGGTGCTAAGTCTGAACTTGAGGATTAGTTCAGATTCTCCTCTTGCTATTTTGGTATCTGAATTTTGTGTTTTGGCTTTTATCCTAGATTTCCTTATACTGTGTTTCCAAGTTCTTCTCCAAAAGTGTAAATTGATACACTCATATTTACACTTGGGAGCATGCTAGCCTGCTTTCCCATGAGATTACTTTCATATTCCAAATGCAGAATTAGAATCCCTGACATGCTGCTCGGATTATGAGTTCTGTTTATTTTCCTAATGGCCCCTACCTAAGATCAGTGGGGTAAAGCCCCCTCGTAACTCTCAGACCTGAACACACTTCCACTCGTTCCATTCACTCTCAACTCCGGGAGGCTCTCAGCTCACGGTGGCTCCATCCCTCTCCGTGATGTGCCACGGACGAAGGCACGCGGCCCCTCCTCTGCATGAACCTAGGTTCCCCAATTCTTCTCACTGCCATGTTCATTCCCTGATCATCCAGTTACAGCTGCGGAAGTGGAAGAAAGCACAGCCATGGAAAATACAGCAAAATACGCAGGGGATATAACAAGGAGTACTCATACTCAAGTATTTATCCCCTCCTTCCCGAAATGCCCATTGAACGCATATTAAAATTCACAAGAGGGTCTGAGGAAAGGAGACCCCCCGAGATATGACCCACATCAGAAACCACGTCCATTATTTGGGGTAATAAACACTGAAAAGGTTCACCTGGTCTTAAATTAGGACAAAAAGCCCAGGCTGTTTGTAATGAATAATATTTTTAGAGCCCATCAAGTTCTCAGATAAAAGTTTCTCATTAGCTGGAAATATTTTTCTAAAGTTAAAGAGCTCATTGCCAACAAAGGCGGTACAGCAATTCCCGCAGTATCTTTCTGGAAAGAACAAAGTGGCTCATTTATCGATTGAAGATGAAAACCCAAGAGATGAGTTGTATGGAAGAAACAAAGGCATGGAGAATCTTTCAAAGGATAACATGATTCCCAACCCAGGTGCTATCTTTTAAAAGGATCTTCTGTGATGTTTCTGGCAAGACTGAGCTCTCTTTCTTCAGAAGCTTGGATGATCCTGTCACTGGAAGCTCTCCTAGAGGGAGTGTGGGCCTAGACTGTCCAAAGCAGACCATCATGAACACACTCAGGAGGTCTGAGCATTTGCATTTCTCATGCTGCCCAGGTGAGGGTGCTGAGCACTCTAAGAAGCCCGACTCCACACTCTCCAGAGGTTAATCTTCTGCCTCTGATCAAATTTTTGTCAACCAGTTTGAAAGCTTGCTGACACTGGGAATACTGCTTGCATTTACTTCTTTGTACTCTATAAAGGAGAAGAGTAGCTCTTCAAAGTAAATATTTTACACAGAATGGCTAACCGATCATTGAGGAGCATGGACAGTCCACTGGTGGAGTTTTATTCTCAAGTCT